ATAATAATAATAATAATAATAATAATAATAATAATAAGTTTTTTCATATTTTGTCAAACTTAGGGCCTATGCGCGACCTGAAGATGTCAACCGATTTTGATAATTTTTGTTTTCTGTTTTTGTATATATAATTCGCAACTTTTCCGCGCTATTACAACTTCGAAATAAAAAAATTAGTTTTTTCGGCCCACCCTAGTGTGAAGTGCTCATTTCACACACTAACAGCCCTCACGCACTGACAGAAATAAGACAACAAAATTTGAAGTTTTTTAAGTAATTAAATTAAGTATTGTAGAAAAAACATTGTTTAATTATGTATGCAAAACAATTTTTATGAATCGAACGAATTTTTGGCTCGACCTTCGGTTTCGACAATAAAACGTCAAAACACAATACAAATATAACAATTTTTGTTTTGTTTTGTACAATACTCGTATCGGACCTGTGTAACATCAAGAATGAAAATTGAAAAAAGCACCAGGTGAGATTTTAATTAGTTTTGTAAATAGGTATACCATAGTTATCGTTGTATACGATACAAAGCATAAAAATTTAAAAAATCTACCTGACAATTTCAATTTTTAATAATTCTCTGAACACATTTAGGTATCATAATTTTGAATATCTTCGCCGACGTTTTGCACAAAAATCAACCAACAAAAAATAATTATCTAATCTACTATCTTGCACAGATAGTAGTAGACAAAGATGAGTATTAAAGTAATCCACAAGTGGATTTAAAGGTCTGTAATGTAATTGAATGTTCAGTAATTGTATAGTATTTAAAGAGTTCACTTCACTAAAAATTAATATGGTTAAGAAATCTTTAAAAGGGTACGTTCAAGTAGATACATGTGTTTGATGATTTTTTTTCGTTGTGAAAATCCAACTAATATTAGAAATTGAGTGGAAATAGCTTTACGTACATACATTTTTTTTAAAGTTCAATAAGAATTAACACATCGTAACACATGACTTTATTACTCAAAATTAACGCTTATCTAAATACCTACTAAATTCTATTTTTTTATAACGATATTGTAAAAGACATCTTTCAAAACAGATTACTTGAGCAAATAACAAATTATTGACGTCAACATTTTCGTATTTTTAGAGAATATGTGAAAAATAAATTAAAAATCCAAAAGACTAAAGATGAGAAAAAGGAGGACAAAAAGGAGGAAAAAAAAGTCTCATATTTCCAACTGGTACGAAAGAAAAAAAAAATTCAAACAACTTAAATCCTTTTTTAGTTTCGTTACGCCACATTGCAAGACAAATTTTATATAGCTTTAGGTACTCTATGTGCAGTAATATGTGGCTGTATTCAGCCTTACGTAATGATAATTTTTGGAGATGTTACCGAAGTCATTATTCAATACGCTGAAACTTTAAAGAAAAACAATTCGGAAATTAACGAAACACAAGCTGTAGATGATCTTTTTAAGGGTGTAACAAATTTTGCAATCTATTCCTCATGCTCTGGGATTGTGATGATAATTACGACTTATTTGGCTGGAATACTTTTCACATCTAGTGCCTTAAGACAGGTAATAATTTCATAAAAATTGGGAAATAAAAAATCATTATAAAAATGTTTAGATTTTTCATATTAGAAAATTAATTTTGCAAAGGACTTTAAATATGGACATTTCTTGGTACGATCTCAATAAAACTGGAGATTTTGCGACCACATTCACAGAGTAAGTCACAAACAAATCAACAAGGAGAAACTTACTTAATCATGTTTTCAGTAATTTGTCAAAAATTGAGGAAGGAATAGGCGAAAAAGTTGGCATATTTATATTTTTTGAAACAATTTTTGTTACTGGGATTGTAATGGGCCTTGTCTTGGGTTGGGAACTGGCATTAATTTGTCTCATATCACTACCAGTGTCATTCGCTGTCGCATTCTTAATTTCATGGGTAAGTCGTCAAAAATTCCACTTTTCCCACTTACCAACCAACCGCAGTTATCAACAAAATTTTCAAAACAAGAACTCGAAGCGTATGCCACTGCTGGAGCCATCGCTGAGGAGGTTATAAGCTCAGTACGAACAGTCGTGGCTTTCGACGGCCAAGAAAAAGAGTTTGAACGATACGAAAAAAACCTAGAAGCTGCAAAAACCAACAACATCAGAAAAAATCTATTTTCCGGGTTAAGTAATGCTGTCATGTGGTTTTTCGTATTTGCTTCCTACGCTTTGTCATTTTGGTACGGCGTTGGGTTGATTTTAAAAGAGAAGGATTTGCCCTATGAAGAGAGAGTTTACACTCCTGGAAATATGGTCTCTGTAAGTCGATTTCCCGTGAGAAAATTGTGGATCTAATTTAGGAATTCAAAGGTCTTTTTTTGTACTCTAATCGCGTCGTGGAATTTCGGAACTGGCGCTCCTTATTTCGAAATATTCGGAACGGCATGTGGAGCTGCTGCAAAGGTTTTCGAGATTTTAGACACAAAACCCGAAATCAATCTCTCCAAAAACAAAGGCTTGAAACCAAAAGGCTTGAAAGGTGATATAGTTTTTAAGGACGTTTCTTTTCATTATCCTTCTCGACCTGATGTGAAGGTATGTATAAATTGGTCAAAGAAAATTATTTATTTTTCGCAGATTTTACAAAATTTCAGTATTGATATTAAGGCAGGTCAAACTGTAGCTCTAGTGGGAAGTTCTGGTTGTGGAAAATCAACTTGTATCCAACTGATCCAGAGATTCTACGATGTTGTGTCTGGCACTGTACGTTTTCAACAAATACCAGATTAGAAAAATTCAAATGAACAATTTCAGGTCACCATTGACGACAATAACATCAAAGAATTGAATTTATCTTGGCTGAGGAGTAAAATTGGAGTTGTGGGTCAAGAACCAGCGCTTTTTGGGGCCACAATCGCTGAAAATATAAGATTCGGGAACGTTTCAGCAACTCAAAGTGATATTGAAAAAGCTGCCAAAAAAGCCAACGCTCATAACTTCATCCAGAAGTTGCCTCGAGGTTACAATACTGTTGTTGGTGAAAGAGGAGCCCAACTTTCAGGTGGTCAGAAACAAAGAATTGCTATTGCTAGAGCATTAATACGGGAACCTAAAATTCTCTTACTTGATGAAGCCACGTCGGCTCTTGATACCACGAGTGAAGCGGAGGTTCAAGCAGCCCTTGATGCTGTAATGACTCCTAATTTTGGGATTATTGAACCGTTTCATTATTCAATTGTAGGTCAGTGGCGAGTGTACCACTATCATTGTAGCTCACAGATTATCGACAATAAGGAATGCTAATCGAATTGTGGTCGTTTCTCAAGGAACAGTTATCGAAGAAGGCACTCACAGTGAACTAATGGAGAAGAAAGGCGCTTACTTCGATTTAGTACAGTCGCAGGGGTTGTCTGAAACTGAAGAAACAACTAAAGGTAAGCCACTACGACTTTTGCAAAAATAACCCTATATAAACCCTAAATTAGAAGAACAACAAAGACAGAACGGTGTTGTCGAGATGACTAAAACCAGTGAAACGGCAGTTGCTGAAGGGATTTCCACTGAAGATGTAAGTATTTTGCTCACTTCGATCAATGTGAAAATAAATTGTTGTCATAGTTAAACGACACCAAAGAAGAAAATAAAGGGAGTGCAATAATACAAATTTTAAAAATGAATAAACCAGAGTGGTTTCATATCTTGACAGGATGTATAACTTCGGTCATAAACGGTTCAGCTCTTCCTATTTACGGATTAGTTTTCGGTGATATAATTGGTGTAAGTTTTACAGACATATCTTCAGAACGAAGTAACTGTGATTCGTACATCTGTAGGTGCTCGCTGACCCTAGAGATTCTTTTGTTCGAGAGCAAAGTAATTTGTTTTCTCTGTACTTTGTGATCATCGGGATTATAACAGCTGTTGCTACGTTCATGCAGGTAAGCATACTTTTAATTTCCAAATCATCGACAAGGAATTCGTTCAAAAATTTTTTTAGATTTATTATTTTGCTGTCGCTGGAGAAAAACTGACTAAACGACTGCGTGCAAAAATGTTCAGAGCAATGTTAAACCAAGAAATGGCCTGGTTTGACAGAAAAGAAAATGGTGTTGGGGCACTATGTGCAAAATTATCAGGAGAGGCGGCTAGTGTACAAGGTGTAAGTTGAACACTTCAAAAAAAACATTCGTTATTTTGTTAGTGTTTTTTAGGCTGGTGGAATTCGAATTGGAACAGTACTTAACTCCCTTGCAACATTTATAATAGCCAATACAATAGCAATTTATTTCGAATGGAGATTAGCATTAGTTTTGATATCCTTCTCACCCATAATATTACTATCGGTTTTCTTTGAACAAAAATTCACACAGGGCGACTCTCGAGTGAATCAGAAGTATTTAGAAAATTCCGCAAAAGTGAGTACACATTACATTACAAACTTTTTATATAAAAGTCGCACAGATAGCCGTAGAAGCTATTGGAAACATTAGAACAATTGCCTCCCTAGGATGCGAAGAAGTTTTTTACGGATTTTATGTCAAAGAGTTAACTCCATATGTGGCTAATATTAAGAAACAAATGCACTTTAGATCCGTTGTTTTGGGCGTTGCTAGAAGTATAATGCTTTTTGCGTATTCTGTCGGAATGGGTTATGGAGCAAAATTGATGACAGATTCTGATGTAGATTACGGAACAGTATTCATGTTAGTTCGACTAATTTAGTTTTCCCCACTTATTTCAAAATTTTTCAGAGTTTCAGAAACTGTAATAGTCGGCTCGTGGTCGATCGGTAATGCATTTTCCTTCTCCCCGAACTTCCAGAAAGGGTTGTCCGCCGCTGAACGAATATTCACATTACTGAAACGTGTGCCTGAAGTTAAAAACTCACTCAAACCCGTTTATTTAAACGACGTAAGTAGCCTAATTCCGATAGGAAAAAAACTGATGAAAAATTTAGGTCCGAGGAGATATTGAATACTCAAATGTGTATTTCTCATACCCCACTCGGTCCTCAGTATCAATATTAAACGGCCTAAATTTGAACGTATTTCAAGGAAAAACCGTAGCTTTAGTGGGTTCGAGTGGTTGTGGCAAATCGACCATTATCCAGCTATTGGAAAGGTTTTATGATCCGGTCACCGGTGAGGTTTCCCTAGACGATGAATCGGTAAAAAATGTGGACATACAAAATCTGCGATCACATCTTGGTATTGTCTCACAAGAACCCAACCTTTTCGATAGAACAATAGCCGAAAATATTGCTTATGGAGCCAACCATCGAACAGTTAACATGAATGAAATAGTCGAAGCTGCCAAATCAGCCAATATTCATACTTTCATCTCATCTTTACCAGGGGTGAGTGCTACACAAAAATAACTTTTTATAACATTGGGTTTTAAGGGCTACGAAACGAGTTTGGGTAGCAAAGGAGCCCAGTTATCTGGAGGCCAAAAACAGAGAGTTGCTATTGCTAGGGCTTTAATTAGGAATCCGAGGATTTTGTTACTCGATGAAGCAACTTCAGCATTGGATAACGAAAGTGAAAAAGTATAATTTTTGGCGGGGAATAGGATTAGAAAATTATAAACTGGGTTACAGGTGGTACAAGAAGCTTTAGATAATGCAAAGAAAAATAGGACCTGCATCACAATTGCACACAGATTAACTACGATCCAAGACGCCGATGTTATTTGTGTCTTAAATGAAGGAATTGTAGCTGAAATGGGCAAACACAATGAGTTACTAGAGAAAAAGGGTCTCTACTACGACTTCTACAAATTACAAACCGGACAAAAATAGTAAAGTTTGTAATCATGTTGTAAACATACTGATTTAGACTTACTGTATTTGTGAGCACAATTGTTAATTTAGTTAGCCATCTGTATTTTTTAATTAAATGATCTTTCAGATTCATGAATTTTCAGTTGACAAATAAAACCATTTTTAGAAAATCATATATTTATTTTTTTAACTAAAGTAAATACATCATGTATGTAATATATTTTATTTTATATTACATTTAACACTACTCTTACTTAAAGAAATAATTCTGGGGATCGCCTCCCCATGACACAACTTGCTTTAGAAAATTACACCTATTTCATAAAATTCAAACAAATTAATGAGAAGTCAATTTACCACATCATGTCACACGGGCCTTTACTCGTATAAACTACGATAAAGTTAAGAAAATGAAAATAAGTAATACTTACAATAGACGCGACATAAAAATTGTACTTTTAATGTTATGTACAATATAAATAATTTAAAATTACCATACACTTTTGGAGCACTTGACTTAAACTCCCAAAATTGTTCCATGGTACAATATCTGAACTTTAATGTGGAATTCAGAATAGAAATTATTAAAATATTATAACATCACCGTGTCTATTCAGTTATTTTACCATGAGGTAAATCCAAATCTAATATACATATTTCTAAATAAACTTTGAATGTTTTGAACATAAAACTTTATTTACAGAAGCAAATCAATTAAATTCCGCTACGATATACATAAAATAATTATAAAAAATAAACTTTTACTTTTCATACGGTCAGTTTGTGTGCCAATAAAATTATCAATCAATGAATATAACTTAATTGCACGTAAGAAACGTCGATTAAAGCATTTTAAAAAGATTTTAGGGGTGCACAAGTGGCAACAAAACAGCTACCTCTCTGTACAACTGCAAAGTGGTGTTAAATCTAAAACCTGAACAATAAAAGGTACTATTCATTAAAATACTAGGCGTTAATGTAGGCAATACATTTACTTTTGAGGAGTGGACTGAGTTGCGGTAGACCCGGTTGTGATCTGCCCTTGCTGGGCGTATTGTTGAGCATATTGCGCCCAATCCTGCTGGGAGTACTGACCGTACTGGTTTGCTCCCGCTGGATTACTACCAGCAGATTGACCCTAACAAATTCCTTGTAGACAAAGCAAACAAAAATTAAAAAAAACTTACCTGAGTTCCACTCCAGTTTTGAGGATACTGTCCGTAATAATTCCAGTTGGAGTAACCATAACTTTGACTTCCACCACCATATTTCCACTGGTTTTGGTTGCTCTGGCTGTTCCAACCACCCTGGCCCCAGGAACCCTGACTCCATGGCTGGTTACCCCAACTGCCTTGGCTCTGGCCCCAACCGGAAGACCAGTTACCACCAGGTCCTCTGCCCACTTGGTTGCGATTGCGGTTGTAGTTGCTGCCTTGACCGTGGGAGTCTCTGTTCCCTCGATCTCGGGCATTACCTAAATCAAAATAATAATTATTTATATTAAAACAAATTAGGCTCACCTCTATTCCTCCAATCTCTTGGAGGGGGCCCACGATTATCCCGTCTGTCTCTGTTCCATCCTCCGGGACGTTGCGGGTGCCAGTTGCCCTGTCTTGGGGGCCCTCTATCGTATCGATTATTGTGGTAACTCCTGTCCCGGTAGTTACCACCACGATAATCATTGCCTGTGAAACACAAAAATTATAACAAAATTTTCATAAAATGGTAATTACAAAAATTCTTACGTCTGTTTTGCCATCTATGACGGTCATCCCGATGTCCAAATCTTCTTTGCACGCCAATGGTTTCGCGCGCTTGTGAATTATATTTCTGAACCAAAGCTTTAGCTTCTTCTTCGCCAACGCCTACGTAGAGTACTTCATCAATCCATTCCCCCTTTTGCGGTAAGCTCATGTTTGCTACAATTTGGAGGAGAAAATAAGAAAGATATCAAAATTTCGACTGCAATAAAACTCGATACAAGAATTATCGAACTTTATGTACAATCGGTTTCAGGCAGAAAAACGTCATCATTTTTTAATAAATGCTGAAATTTTTAATAAAAGTTAGTCTGATGTCTTTCATTTAGATTTAGAAGTAAAATAATACATGAAATAAAAAAAACAACAAACAAAAAACTGTCAAAATCTTAATTTTATGAAGATAACCTGCGTCTTGTTGGTTTAGAATTCTCTTTTAAAAACAGTAACCACTTCTTCGCACTACTTTATCCATTCCAATTTTGAAGATATATAGGAATTGCCACCACATCTACCACCTGGTTTGGAAACATCAGATTTTTTTATTTCTTAATCCAAAACGCACTAGTTTATTTCTGAAATAAAACAATACTTTACATGGAGAGATTATTTATTTATTTTACACTTCCTCCTATTCCGATTCATAAATTAAAATTTCACTAGTTTTTGTAAACCACATTACAACGTAATGTTCACAATTATCTCGTACCATGAATATTTCAAAAATAGAATTACAACATTCTGTTTCATTGTAAAAGAGAACTCGATAGGTAAATCAGCGCTCACTTCACACAGTTCATTATCATAATCATAACAAAAACAAGATAAGGAGTAGAGAGAAAAAAATCGTACCAAATAAAAAGCATCAGACTACAAAAAATTTAAACCACTTTGATTGCTACTTCACGTTAAAAAAAAAGCATTTGAAAAAAGATGACGTGATGTGCAAAAGGGATACACAAATAATAAAACAAATATTAGTTACGTATCGGTAAATATACCTTTCATATCAAGCACGGAGCTATCGGGAACGTCTTTACCGCCCTGAGCCTCTTGCAAAGATTGCCGTTTAGCTTGTTCTTCATCTCCTACTACAACAACGACAGCACGCCTCTTGAAGCCCTCAAATGGCCGCAATTTGCGGCGCTGGGCTGATGGGTACACGTTTGGCTGCCACAACGCTCAATATTATAGTAACGTTCTCATTATTTTTATGAATATAACTTTAAGTGGGCCAAGCAGGCCAAAAACTCCTGACAAATGGCCGGACTACATACTAATCGTGTGTACTATTCCTTTAAGATCGTAGTAAATAAATATACCGTCAAAAGGCTTTGGCAGCTTGAAAAAATTCTCCTAAATATATGTGGCATTATAATAGCTCTGTAAGTCATAAGTTATCATTGTTTCTTTTTCCAAACGCTTACATACTAGGACATACCTTTTGTTTCTGATGAAAATACGTTGACATTTAAATTAATCAAAATCGATTACAAAAAAATTCGACAATTTTATTCTAATAAAAAAATGATCTCCATCGTTTTACGTATTGGGTTGATGCACAAGTTTAGGTAGGTTTTTTAGGGAATGCAAATTAATTTATTTTTTAACAAACAAAATAAATGAACTAATTCCACGACTGAAGCAAAGATACCAAAAGAGGTTGTTTAATAGACGTCCTCTTCGTAAACGGCACAGTAACATCTCTGTTGTACTAGGGAATGTTGCACTTTTTTTCCATTTAACACCTGGTTTTCTTTTGTGTATAATTTACACAAACATTATCCATTTTTTTTCTTGAAGAATAATTCAATTAAAGAAAGCATACTTACAAATTACTATTAATTAACCAAGAATATGCTTTTTATAAAAACACTACAAATTTATGCATCAACCTAATAAAATGTGAGTATTACGACTTTATATACACGAACTTCACGTAATACTGTACTAACCTTCTTCACAACATTGCAATAATGCAGTCATATTTTACCTTAACTGTTAAGCAGGTTTAAGTGTCAGCGACTTTACAATTTAGGTATACTTACAATGTTACTAAAAGTTGCCTTTGACTTTTGGTGTACTTACTTATTTCCAGAAAATTTTCCACAAGGAGGTACTTTACGTTCTAAACTGATGAATTCACAAAATATTTTCAAATGAAAAACAGTTTGTGAACTCAATATATCAATAAATAATGACTACCATACACGCATATTTTGAGCTTCTCTGTGTTATTTACCTGATCAATGATGTAGTTTCTTCGACGAAGAGCGGCGATTTCTACAAGCTTGTTTAAGCACTTTTGAAGCTTCTCCAACAACATGTTCCAACTCCCTTTGTATTTATTTTTCAACTCATCACCAGAAATCTAAACAAAACATTTCCAGATCCGAAAAATAAACTTTAAACGTAAGAAACAATACTTACTGTCATTTTCTGCAACAGTTGCATATTGCCCAAAACGGTGTACCTCTTCTCCGGATTCTCCTGAATATATTCTTGAACCCAGTGTGTTTTGCCCGCAGCAGGTAACCCACACATTAAAATCACCTTAATGTCACAAATTATAGAAATAACCAAAATAACCAACTGCAAAATTTACCTCGCAGTCGCTCCTATTTTCGGGTCTGGCAGGGCCAGGAACCTTATCTTCCACATTGGCCAAAAACTCAAAATCTTCAAAGCCTTCAGGTTTAACAAACCAAGACTCTTCTTTATTGCCCAAATTCAATTCAAACGCATAATTGCGAGAAAGGACGTGGGGGAAAAAGACGAAATTTTCCGGAAGATCGGAACATGGGACGGATATCGCATCACCTTGCATCTCACCATTGACAGAGTAAGACATTTTTATCTCATTCTCATTGATTTCCTGCAATGCGTTTATTAAATGTTTAAGTGATACGAAACGTGATTTTTATTACCAAAAAACTAGCAATCACGTCACCAACACCAAATTTTTTTCCGTAATTTTCAAACTGTTTGTTAACGGCAAATCTTCCAGATGACTCATAACCGTAAGAAAAGTTGTCCTCTCCCAACTGGAGTCCAGTATCAAGGAGCGACCACCCAACTCGGAATAAATGAGTCGGTATAGGTTCGGTTTCTTTGATTTCCGATTCTTCTTTCTCTTCTGATTTTTCTTTACTTTCCTCGGTTTCCATTGGTTCTTGTGGACACTCTTCAGGTGGGTTCTCGTCAGTACTCTTTCTATTTTCTTCATTTTCACTTTCGGTAATTTCTTGCATTTCTGAGTCATTCTCAGGAGCAGTTTCCGACTTTTCTTTATTTTCAGAGGCGTCTCCAGTTGTTTCCGACTTTTCGCCGTTTTCTTGGCTGCTTTCGGATTTATCATTATCGTCATTTTTACTTTGCTCGTCTTTATTTTTTGACTCGTCAGATTTCTTTTTATCGTCATCTTTGTGTCTAGAAGATTTATGTTGATCTCGGCGGTGTTTGTCATAGTATTTGGAAAAATCCTCCCATTTTAATTCTTCTGTTACTTTTACTTCGAAACATACCTAGAAATTCGTTTCATTGTTTAATAACTCTGGCTTTTTATTTGTTTTTATTTTTTATTTGACTTATTGAGCAATCAGTTTAATACCTTTCCAGTATTGACGCCATGGGTAGCTCTTACTCCCGCCCATGCAAAACCGAAAGCACCTTCATGATAGGGTTTTGCTGATAAGAACGATTCTTTATCAACTTGTAGATGAAGGTCAGAGTCATCTGGAATAAAACAAACACTTGGACTATTTCTCAACACAAGAAATAATTTCTTATCACTTGAATTAAAGATTATCACACTTGAAGCTTTTAGAAATAAAGGAAAAATAAAAAAAATACCAATTTGTTTCAAATTTACACTTTATTGACTACATTTTAGGTACAACTGTAGTAACTACCAAACAGATACAAGATTTTGAAGTCAAACGTAAAATAATAAAATGGAACCATGCAAAATGTAGGCAAAGATATGGTTCAAGTTTTAAAATTATTTTATAATTTTATGAATAGAAATAAAAACGTGTAAAGCAAAATACAGGGTGAAATGAAAACAAACTTTCATGCAAACTACATAGAAGAACCCAAAATTACATTTCATGTATCTACATAATTGTTACTTACACCAGCTAAGCTGAACTTTGTCCTTATCTATAGGAGGCTCATCTTCTTTGATCGGTGATTTACTTCGTCGGCGTTGAGATCGGTCGGGGGATGGACTACTACGCTTTCGTTTTTCACCCTTAGATTCAGCATCTTTATTTTCACTGGCTGGTACTTCAGTGCTTTCAGATTGATTATTCTCAACGTCTTCTTGTGGTGGAGCTTCTGAACCATCCATTTCTGAACCCCAGCGAGATTTTCGCGATTTAGGTTCATCCTAAAATAGAAATTATTTTAGTCATTAACATACAGTGTTTTCACCATTACCTGTTCCCCATTCTCTTTATTTTCTTCTAAATTGGAATTAACTTCTTTTGGTTCAGTCTGTTCTGAAGGCTCAGACTCTTCTGGTTTAGGTACTTCAACTTCAGGTGCAGGCTCTTGTGGAGGTTGTTCTGCAGGAGGCGCCTCTTGTGTCTAAAACAACAAACATTAAACAATTTTCACCACAGTGAAAATTTTATTTTATTTACATCCATTTTTTCTTCTGTACTGGCGTCTGCAACTGGCGGTTGCTCCACTGGTGGCTGTTCTTTAGGTGGTAGTTGACAAGTTTCAGTTTTTTCAGGTTCCTTATCAGGTACTTTCGATTCTTCAGTAACGGAATCATTTTTAGTTTGCGAAGTATCTAAATCTTCTGTCGACGTATCAGCAATTGAAGTATCTGGTAACTCTGTTGTAAGAAAAACGCAAGTTAAATTTCCCGCCAAAATCTACTTCATGTCTTATCTATTCTAAAGCAAAAGGAGATTGTTTTGAAACTGTTAAAATCTGGTAATTTTCACTATTTACAATGATTAATGTAATAATTATCGCTAACATCTCGTAATATGATAGATAATTAAACTGTACACAATCAAATGTGGCAAATCTACTACCCATCTTAAAAACATTTAAAACAAACAGAAAGATAAACAGTGTTGTTTTAAAGAATTCAGTGAGCACATTTTTCAATTGTAGGGCCTGGATTGTTGGGAACAGTACCAGAACTAACCTTGTTTGAGTTCCTCCTCCAAGGCTTCTTTTAAGCGCTTGACTAACGCCGCTTTGTTTCCTTTTGAATCCAAACCACGCTTTGAGAGTTCTGCACGTAATTCTACCACTTTTAATTTGGCAGGGTCTACTGTTGAACTCATTTTTATATAAGATTTTTAGCAGTTCACAATAAAAATCTGAACACAAAATATTTAACACACACACACGCAGAAAGCACGCGCTAATTTGCAAATGGCGGACGTGATGCGTTGGTTTGGCAGCGCATGCGCAAACTTTTCATTAGCTTTCCCGCCATTACCATTTAAATTCAGAAAAAGAAGAATAAAAAAATTCAAATATTTATTTGAACAAATTTAATTTTACAAATATATATTTATTTGCTGTTTGTAATATTCGATAATTGTAGTATTTTTTGCAACTATTTTTTCCCTACGGGATGGCCTGTATCTGTAACACATTTTTGCGTTGCATTCTCCACGGTAGCATCTAATTTGGATTTTTATTTATCATAAGTAAGATAAAATCTTCTTGTTTGATAATTTTATAAACTTTTTGTTTGAAATTGTAAAAAGTAAGACAAGTCACTACAATATGCGCCTGAACATACAATAGCAAATTTGTAACCACATATAATTAACAACAGTTTTTGTTTGACAATTCTTTCTGTAAAAACGATTGTTTAAATCTTTGTACATAATTAAAAATAACCAAATAAACAAAAGCTAGACTTTCAGAACTAGACACAAGTTGGAAATTTTAAATGGTACGACCCTACTTGTAATACATCGTTGGAAAGCTCATAACACGCGCTTTTCAAAAATGTCATACAACAGCCTATTTCGTGAACCCGTTTTCCAATTATTCAAAAACAAAGATTTTAAATTATCATTTTTTTAAATATATTCAAGGATGGGAGGAGGTGCGTCACTCACCCTGTCATTTTGATCCCCTCTAATAACCACCAAAACGGTGTATGAATAATAATGTAATCAAAAAATTCCAATGGGACTCGCATCACCACGGACCTGAGTTGAGTTCAACACTAAACAAAACGAACCGAAATTATTTTGGAAATACAAAAATTAAGTTCGAATTACGAAAATTATATTAAGTTGTGGTTATAGGAATTAATTTGGAATTATACAAATTTGGTGTTTTTTGTTAGAATTACACAAAGTGAATTATTGGAATTTTTCTGAAATTAATAGATTTATTTCGAAATTATAGAAGTTAATTTTTTTTTAAATTACGTTGAATTTTGGAATTACATGAATTATTTAAGAATTATAAAAATTAAGTTGAAATTACAGGAATATTAATCTAGATTTATAACGATAATTTAAGAGTATATCTGCTGAAAACAATGCAATTAAAATTAATTATTGGAATTACTCGCTGAAGTTTCTTTAGAAATGAAATTAGTTGTACACATTTTTTCTACTTATGTAAGGGCCCCTCGTAAAACACTATTAGGAAATGCTCTAGTGTGACAATTATTCTTTGTAAAAAAATGTCTTATTGAATGTTAGAATTTTTTAATACGAATTAACTTAATTTAAAATTTAATATAACTCAATTTAAAAAAAATTAAAATTGAAAAGGCACTGCTAACCGCAAATTTTATCTTGAACCAAAAGTTTTCACGTATTCAGATCCACATTCCAAAATTTGCATTTTTTTATTTTTCAAATTAGAAACATCTCCAGACATCAATTTTTATAATTCATGTTTACAATATAAAAAATTATTTTAAGTGAAAAAATTAAACGTTTTTGGATAATTACTACAGGAATTAAAAATTATTCTAATTATACAATTTACAAATAATTCTATTCCATTATCATTATTATCATACCAGGTGAATAAAAAGTATGGAACCAAACGTTAGTGATAAAATACTATAAAAATGTGATGATTTAACAAGAATAAAATTTTTCGAAATTTCCTTTTGTTTTTGAGTTCTACAAAAAAAATAATTTTTTAAATGGCAACCCACTGTAAAATCATTTTTCTCATAAAAGGTATACTCTAAGGATTATAACTATCTGGTTTATATTTCATTTTTTCAAAAACATTTTTTCACATAAATTGAAATTTTGACAAAAAAAATCGCATAACAAAAACAAAACAAAATTTCGTTCTGAAAATACGAACACATTTTTTGTATTACTTTAATTTATATTAATTATTATTTTCTGGAGGCAAATGATTAAAAATAAAACCGCTTGGTTCCATACTTTATATTCATCCTGTATATCTCAATAACCCTTCACTGGGATGTGATGTTCAATGTTATTATCGTTTTTTTTTTGTTTTTGAAAGCCCTAAAGTATGACGTCTTAAATGTTAAGTAGCAATGAAATAGATATTTTATTGAAATGATTTTAGGAAAAAAAAATTATTAAAAAAGAAAATTAGCAACAGATATGGCAAGCAAAATTTTTTTCACAACATGTTTTATCTGTCTACATTCTTCATTTATTTATCTACAATTTAATAAATTTATAGAATTTACAAAATATTTTTAAATCATTTCTTAAATTAATAATTTTGGAACAAAAATTAACAAGCGTGTGTATTATGTGTTGCATTAACAAGCTCATCCTTATCTAATTCCGAAAATTAATTTTATTTAATTATTTGATAACCACCAAGTTATTTTTTGTAAGCGATTATTTACCGTTCGCCGGCATTACGGGCATTACTCACACAACAGAGTTGCCGCGCTTCCTGTAGATAAATGTCAAACGTCAAAGTTGTCAAAATATAACCTGCTTTGTCGATTAATTTCGTGTAATATTTTTGTTATAACAAAACATTCTTCCCTTATTGTTACATTGATGCGTTATGAATTACAAACTGTATTAGTAGTGTATTTGAACCTCTTCTCCTATATTCTACAAGAGATTAAACTTAGGGTATGTGTAACATATTCTATATTGGACCCCCATAAAAACGTAATTTTAATTTCAGAATGTTTTCTAATGGCCTGACCTGCAACCTTCCATTCAGTTGTATGAGTGTAACTCGAGATTCAGGCTCCGATGAACTTCTTCCCAACAGAATGGCTCGTGAACCAGTTTTGTTGAACGTTTATGATATGTACAAGATCAATGAGTATACTTCTAATATAGGTCTTGGCGTATTCCACTCTGGTAATAAACTATTCAAGTTTTTCACCTGATAACGATTATTTTTAGGAGTTGAGGTTTATGGGACTGAGTATGCATATGGGGGGCATCAATACCCATTCACCGGCATATTTGAAATTAATCCCAGGGACGAACGGGATTTAGGAGACCAGTTTCGATTTAGGTAATCTAAATTAACATTGCCACCTGTTTGCATAAAAAAATATATTGCTGACGTTATCAGTTAATGTAAATGAACCTTTGGAATGATGTGCTGTCATAACACTCATAATCAAACAATGGAAACACTTTTTCTAGGCAAACTATCCACATTGGGTACACCGATTTCACGGAGGAAGATGTCAAAAGAATAAAAAACGAACTCGGAAAAGAATTTCGCGGAGATCGTTACCACTTGATGAACAATAATTGTAATCACTTTTCTGGAGCTTTCACCAAGGTGGGGAAATAATTCCAGTTCGAACATATTTAAATGTATGTTTTAGATTCTTTGTGGCCAAGATATTCCGCCATGGGTAAACAGATTAGCATATTTTAGTAGTTGGGTTCCATTCTTGGAGCGTTGTTTACCAAAAGAATGGCTAATGCCAATGGCCTTGCAACATTCATTAAATCATAGAAAAGACTCAACTTGTTCAGAATCATCGACGTCACCTTATTAACCCTTGCCAAATCTGTAGGGAAGATAAATAATTGAAGTGTGGTATACATGTATTATAAGAAAAACTAATTTTATCTGTTTAGTAATCAACTTGTATTCAATTTTTAATCCTCATTTTGCAATTGTTTATCGTATTATTTCATCGCCCTATTCATTGTTTTTAATTCACGCCAAAGAAATTGTGAACATTGTAAATAAGAGATGAAACTATCACTGGATTTCCTATTATAGGAAATTTCTTTTAATTTAATCAATAACTTTTTTTATTGAATTTTCATTACAACGAATTAAGTTTCGTATTCAGAAAAAATGATGTAAATTACCATTTTGTAATTTCTTTACATGGCACAAGGATTTAATGTTTTTACATTAAATAATAGGAAATCCCTCATTAACTAATATTTTGACATTGCTCTTGAAAAACTTAAAATAAATATAAACAGAAGTGTTGAGTAATTGGCCTTGTAAAGCAAATGGTTTTGCGTCATGTATAAAACACCATTTTTTTTCAATAGAAATGTCGACAATTGTAGTGACCTGTAATATATTTTTGGTTGATTCCCTAGATCGCAAATGTTGTGTAAGATATTTAGATCTAGTTCTAGGACAGTTGAAAATGATAGTCAAAAGTACAAATGTGTCATTGGGAAATTAAACGTACATTTTTCAGAGTGACAATTTTTCTTGCAGTTGAGACACTAAATTTGCGTTAGATTATCACTTTAAACGTAAAAATTGTGTTCATAAATTGTAAATAAAAGAGACATGTTGACATAAATTCATTTATTTTATTCACTGAAGTTGAATAGGGGACCTTCTGTGTTGTCCAAGAATATAAGACTGTTTGTCAATGTTTATATTTCTATAACAGTACAAAAGATTGATGAAATAGATTTGTCGCAACCACAAATAGTGACCTCTGTGATGCAACGGATTATTTGGCTCAAAACACATTGAAAAACCCGCCAAAAAATTAAGGCACTTTGCTTTTGATTTTTCTAATTGCGTATAGTTTGTATTTAATTTGTAATTAACTTACATATTATTTAATAAAATTTTATTCAGACAAGTCTTGTTTTACTGAAGGGAATAAAACAACGAATTATAAATATACTCCTGACTTATTTTATTTATAGAGATAAAAATTAAACAAACTAAATTTTGTACAAAAAGCAAGAACGAATAAAATATTAGTAATATTTATACAAGTGAAATTTATTATTATTATATCATTTCATTAACTATCGTAGCCTACTGTGACACTTACACTATTTCATATTTCTCAGGAAACAAGCTAGTTTCAACAGAATACTTAACAGGAGAATCATCATCCACCATTAATACATCAAGAATCTGAAATCAAAATTTAGATATTAAAAACCCTTGAGCTATTATTTTTTTCTAGTCTCTACCCTACACATTAATAAACTGTAAACAGCCTTAACCATTGAGGTACTCGCTACGGTAGTGGCATTAAAAGGGCTATCAAATAAATATCTTCCTTTTTTTTAAGAAAAAACTTACCTTAATATTTGCGTAAGCAGATTTCGAACTAAAAGAAACTGTCACCGGAAAAAAGTCATTAGGAATAGATCGGGGCGCACTAAATTCCAAAGATCCAGTTTTATTGCTTGAATCTATAATCGGTAGATTCCATATTAACTGGTTACGCCTTGACTCATGCGTGTATGAGCCGTCACATTCGCCCACAACTGGGTTACAACCCATCCTAAAATAAAACTTCAATAAAAACACCCTCAAACACGCATTTTATAAACCTACGGCAATGGAATCAAAATATTGACATCAGCCAGTTCTAAATTCGGATCGGCAAGTTCGTACTCTATGTTGATGTCGCAACTACCATCGCCAACTTCAGACGGCCAACAATTGATCAAGAGGGGCACTAGACTCTCATCTGTGCTTTGCAATCTCCATTTTAGAACACCGACGTCTGTGTGCAACGGGAATGGTTTTGATGGTTGTTTTAGTCCAATCTAAATTAACAAATTAATAACAAATATTTTTTTATGTTTTTGTTTACTTGGGAACGCAATTTAAAAAGTTCCTTGTCTACATTGGGATGGGTTTGTAGCTGGATGCCACGGGTGTCTTTGTTTTCCAATTGCACGCGAATTCGACCCCATTTTTCGTCCCCGATGTGCAGTGTCACCAATCCTAACAATTCAAATTGTTGCACTCCGCCATCACGGCCCATTCGAACGATAAGTTTTTCTTCCAGTCTCAAATGAACACTGAAAATAATGAGTTATTCATGGCCAGTTTGTATTTTTTCCTCACTCATTAATATCGGACTTAATAGCTGGTGTTTTCATTCCTCCTTGTGAAATACTGTTATTAATTGGTGCAATGACATTTTCACCTTCAGATTTTAGTTGATCTACAAAAGATTCAACGTCGTGACCTTTGCCACCCAATTTCATTCCTCGAGTCGATGGTTTCCTATTGAGACAATGATTAAATAAAAAAAAAATCAGTGATTTTGTGTCATACTGAGGAGCAGAATAAGCTGGTGGTTTGATATCGTTTGAAATATTGGCCACATCGCCTACTGAAGGTGCAGGAGTATAACCAGACGAGCTACCAAAGCCTCCACTGCTGCCAAATGATGGTTTAACACCCTTTTTGTTGGCTTCCATTCGTTGGCGTTGCAATTCTTTAGCTTTTTCACGCATTTTGTTTTTAGCTTCGCGTTCTTGAGTCTAAAGAGTAATAAAGGCCATTAGAAATTTAATCCAGTTTAAAATCTATACAGAAAATAGCAACATCGCAATAAATTTTTATTTCATGCTGTACGGTATACAGAGTGCGCCAGAACTCGCGCCCCAGAGAAAATTTTCAAGTAAGGTAAGATACCAGGAACATGAAAAAAACGTTTAAAAAATGTCAAAAAATTTTGATATTTATTTTTTGACATTTGACATTTTTTTATATCTATTTAATGTACTGATGATCTTGTATATGTTTTTTTTTAATTATTTAGTAAAGAGACAAAAATTTTGACAATAAAAGCCACAAATAACATTAAACAGCTTCCTTGTTTCCCTTTTAATCGCCTAGAGCAACAAAACTTGGAAAATTATTTTTCCAACAGAAATAAATAGAGTCAAAGTGCAAACTTTAAACCCTCATAACTTCGAAATTTTTATAGATAAAATTTTTTTAACATTTTTTCCATGTTCCTGGTATATTATCTTATATGGATGATATTTTTCTCTGGGGCGCGAGTTCCGGCGCACCCTGTATAAAGCTTCCCGAAACGATTAAGACTCCGGAAAGTGCGCTATTACAGTACCGGAGCCGGTAAATACGTAGGAGTCCGGTAAATGAACTGTTATATTGATTTGAAACTGATTAAAGACCGGTTTTTTAACAATTTTATTTTATGATCATTTTAACAACATGAAATACACGATGTTATGTAAACAAACGCTTAAACAAAAATAATGCAATAAATGTTGGTATGATTGGTCAGAAAGACAAATAAACTATAAAAAATTATCAATTATTATCAATTACCAATTTGTATAAATGTTAAGAAAAGTAAAAATAAAATGTTTATTAATAACGAAGTCCCATTCTAAAAAGTATTAATGAATATATTCTTCGTGATTTCTTTCAACCTTAAACTTTGTTCTTACATTGAATCTTCTTTTAAATCTATATAAAAATATTGTCTAGTGTCTTCAAAATTTAAAAAAATATCATTTCTAAGGTTTTACTTATTTAAAAACAAAACGGTTTTTTTCACATTAAGACTTCCCGCTAAGAAAAATAAAAGAAAATAAAAAATATAATAAACCTAAGAAATTGAAGATATCTTTAAATCAAAATCACTGTTTATTTGTAAATTAACAGAATTTTTTTTAAACGTTGACAAGCTGAAATTTACATATAAAAACTATTTTTCATAGATTTTTTTTCTTAGTTCATCCTTTAGTAAACCATGATTTTTTTTAAACTTCTATACTTCTGTCTGAACTTTAACTTTGCAAGAACACATTAAGCTAGCTAGCAGTAAAAAACATCGCAAGCTTGTATAAGTCATTTCCTGCAACTAAGACAATCTAATCTTGAAAATATGAAGTAATAACCATGTTCGAGTTTACTCGAACTTTGATAATTAGTATTTAGCAAATCTGTTTGAACAAAATATATTTTTAGTATTATAACCTGTCTGACGGCCTGATAAACCCTTTCTTCATGTGAGTCCATCTCAACAAATGTGCGAATTTGACTCAAATTGACGCTTTCCCTGTACCCAAGAGCTACAATTTCATCAAAAGCGAAAATTAAAGAGAATGCGTTTTCTGCAATTTCATTTTCCTCCAGTGAGCGGCAATACTCAGGAATCTAAAATAATAACAATTTGAAAACGCTTTCGTCGCTGGTAAGGGTTTGAACAGTTTACCACTTTTGCAAACAACCTCAGAGTTTCTAAATCTTCCAAAATGTTGCTAGCTCTTGTGGTAATGAGGAGCATGTAAAGGCGCTCAAGTGGTTGATATACATATCGGACTGAGTCAGTTTCCACAAAGGTATGTTGTGTTCCTGTGGGGATAAGTTTAGGGAAAGCCGCTAAAAGACCTTCAATGCGGGCTTTTGTCATCTCAACAAACTGTCGAGAGACTATGGCTGGAATGGTGGAGAAATGTTACAACACATGGTCTAGTGTTTCATGTCGTGTACTTACTTTTACCGGCCTTAGTACAGACCGCCGCTGCTATAAGCACCTGAAATCATATGTTATAACTTGAGAAAATGTTTAAAATGGCAACTTGAAAATTTTAAATTGGAATTGTGAAAAGTGGATTTGTTGTATTTATGAAATTTTATCTCACCATTTTAAAGACTTTCAAGAGTCTGTTGTTCTTAAGTTTCTAAAACTAAAATAATATTTTACAAAACATTACACCCTACGGATTTTGTAAGATGACGTTGACTTGTGCTTGCTGTTGAATGAGAAAAACAGTGACGTGACCGTATTCAGGCAGCCAATGTTACGTGGATTAACTCCACTAACTTTAGGCGCGGAATACAAAACTGCACTAATTTCATGCGTCTTTCGTTAAAATAAAAGAAAATATTTATTCGTTATTTTTTAATTGTAACATACTTTATGTCTTGTGTTTCATTTTTTTTTGTTTTGACTTATTTATTGTATTTATTAATTTATCTCAAATATAAGCATTAAAATATCGAAAGAAACATAAATTTTTACTAAATCGCCACCTCATTCTTAATTTCATAGAAATATGTAATTCAGTTTAGATTTAAACTTAATTGTACAGTTTCTCTACTTTGTTTTTGCAAAATCGTTAAAATTTTGTGAATTGAATTTACAGTTTCGAACTTTACCTACTTTGCGAGTGATTTTTTTGGTTTGGCTTAGAATATTTTATTGAGTTTAGTGAGTTTCTCTGCAACAAACGCTCCAAATTTATTAAAATAAACAAATATAATGCATTTTTTAGTAATTTTTGAGTAAAAAAAAAAACATTTTTAAATCAATAATCTGTATTAAATATACAGGGCGAAAATAACTCATTTATTTTTTTTTAATGTATTTACTTTGATCCCTAGAAAAATAAATATTTGAACAGACTTTTAGTGTTATAAATGGCGAACATTTCCAGTAATTCACTTAATTTTAATTATGTTAAAGTCGAAATAAGAATGAATAGTTGTAAAAACTAGTCATAAACACACTCAAGATTTTGGGACACTTATAAAGTCTCAAAATCTACTCAACTTGTTTTAAAAAAAAGTAAAAAATTATCAAAAAGGTCAAGCTCGTAGCATGAAATTTTTGGTAATTTTCTCAAGCATTGATCGGTCTTATCTATCTCAAATCATACACTCAAATCAAATTCGTCGTGTGTGTTTTAATGAATTTTATAGCTTTTTTTACAATTTTTAAACGATTTTGATAATCGAAAAACTAAATAGGTATTTCAAAATATTTATGAGTGAACTTACAATTGCGCCACTATTGTCGTAAATGAAATTTCCCTAATGTCGAATTACGCTTTCATTCAAATTATCATCCTGAAATCGGTTCTCGAAATTGTGAAAATTGGCATTAATAAACAGTCAATTTTTATTCGGATTCATGATTTATCCAATTCTAGACACACAAGTGTTTGTGAATTGCGAGCGAATATTTTAACCGCTAAAAAAATTCGTTATGAAAAGTCATTTTGAAGACCAAACAAATTCTGTATCCATTTTTTTTTGCTTGATTTTCACGAGCCGTTCAGTGTGTCTCTCCATGTTAGTTGGAAGTAAAAATATCAATGAAAATAATTTGCATTGAATGTTGACCGTGAAAGTTTTTGTGTAGAAAAAAGGCACAGAAAAAAATTAGGAGTTGTTTACACGCGTTATTTACTCAGTTATAATCGCGCTTTCGGGTGAATTGTGCACATCGAATTGAAATCAAATTGTAAATCAAATCATTGTGGCTAACTAATACTACAACGCCGAATTGACTAGTGTACTTCCAAGACCGATTTTCACTAAATGTTGGGGAAGATCACTTTACCAGATTAATTAAATCTGTGTGATTTTTTTGTGAGGTCACATGAAACAAATTAATACCCTCGAAGGGTTGTTGTGCAAACGCAAGCTTCCCTAGCCCGAAGGGTACAGTGGCATTGCCAACAAAGGACCACATTTCGAGCAATTTTTTATAATAGCAATAGCAAGTATTGACTGACTAACATTGACCTTATTGTACCGATAATTTTTTTGTCTTTACGCTGTTTACGTTCCGTAGTTTTTGTTTTATGAATGAATGTAAACATCGTATTAAGACATAAACGGGGACGGGTTTTCAGCCGTGTCTTCGGCAAAAGTTAGAAATAGAGAAGTTGTTTTTTTGACCAGTTCTATTAGTGGTTAATAAATATTTGCTTGCAATTCGCAAACAATAATCATTTTGATTTTTTTTATATCGTTATAAAAATTGGACGATTGAGTTTTGAGTTAAAAGATTCACTTAAGGAATTAAATGACATTTTCGGTATTCCCTTGCTTTTGATAATCTCCTGACTCTGCATCATCTCAACTTCACCGACAATTTTTTTTTCGATTTGATAAAGTGAAATTTCAGCCGTTTCTCATCTCAAACATATCATCAGTTTTGCATATCAAAGAATACCTATAGAAAAATACTATTTTACATCTATTTGTAATAAATGAACGAAAAATAAACAACGATTAACACATAATAATTTGTCTATTGCTGTTACTCATTTATTTACTGCCTGTTTTGCACATTTGATAGGAGTACCTACCTACATATTTTATTATTATTCGTAAACAAAGAGTTTTTAATAATATTAAGCTCATACTATCAACTAATATAATCAGCAAGCACGATTAACCTTATTATCTACCTATAACAACTATAAAAATAACATTCGGTAAATATCTCAAGCTAAACAGAAATTTTATTACTCTTCTCTTGATTGGCTCTTTAATTTTCCTTCAGTTTACACATCTTGTTGAGTAATTATTTATTTGCATTTTTCTGACGCAAGACGCAAGTTTGCTTCAGTTCGATATTTTCCAATATCAGTTTCACTGCGGTTAAACTCTGACATACCAATAATTTGAAAATATTGTTTAGGTGTTTTTAAAACAGTGTACGTAACTTCGTAAATGTGTATGTATTTTGTTAAACAATTTTTACATCAACTGAATTTAAAAAGTATCAATTCATAATTCTATTAATTCTAATGTATTGAAGATGATCATTACTGAATTTTATTCGGTCTTTATACACAATTTAAAATATTTTGTATTTTATGAATAAAACAACGATGGTAGTGGATCTGTAAGTTGTTTGTCTCATCAAGAAATCAATATGTTTGTCAATTGACATAAATAATGTGCAATTACAAGTCTAGTGTTACATCAGTTCAGCGGGTGTTTTTTAAAATAAACGTACTGTCATATTAAGTTTATTATTAACAAATTTTATTGTAATTTTGAATTCCTGTTTGTAGTTAAATAATAAAAGTAACTTCAATAGCAATATCAATATCAAAAAGGACTTTTTTTGTTATCCTAACACTCGTATTCTGTACTTACTACACAAAAATAGAAAAAAATGTCTAAGTTTCATTTTTTTTTAATTTTAGCGCTTCTTTAAATGATTCAATAATAAAATACCCATAAGTGTAGATTAAAATAATTATTATTCAATACATTAACTCAACATAAGGGTAGCAAGAATAAAGGGGTTGACCTTCATTTTACAGACCACCTGTAATCATTCTTTATCTTTACAAAAAAATGCGGGATTTCCTATCATAAAATTTAAATCAGCAGTATAGCTATGAAAGTATTGGTGGTCATATAAGTGGAGTTCTAAAAGAAGAGTGCGAAGAAATGAACAAGATATTTTTTTTGTATGGGGTGTTTTTGATGTTGAGTAGTTGAGTAATTATATCTTGTTTTAGGAGTTAAAAGCAAATTGGTTCGATGTAATTGCTGGAAAAAATTTAATAAACACTAATAATTACGATAAAATAATAGACAGCAAATAGATGGCGCCTTAATATCAACATTTGTAGTTTACTATATTTATCTGTTGTTATGTTCATTTTATGTTCACGTTTCCGTGTCTCACATCAAGGCCGTATCAAGGCCATAGCAAAAGCTAGTGGTATGTTATGTTTAGGTTAAATGTGTTAAAAACATTAGTGTCTTTGTATTTCTTCGTAGTAAATGCGTAAAACGATTTTATGGCCAAAGAATAATGTGTACCGTTAATTGTATGCTTCGACCTGAGTGAAAAGGTATGTGTTTTATTACAAAGAACGCATCTTCCTCTTTGACACTTAAGTACTATATGGCTAAGTACTAAGCTTACTATTGTTTACAACACAAGTTGCCTATATCGAAGCAGATTGCTTTTTCCTGTGGAAGCAATTGACACATTTTAATGTGTTCAAAATTAGATTTGTTTAATAAGCACACAATCTAAATATAAATGTCTGTTGATAAATTATAATTACGACGTAAATAGGTGTTTAATATTAAACTGCAAATTGTGTATGTATATTTTTATCAACAGCAGAATTGCTACGTGTTTTCTTGTATGGTTTTCACTGATTGTTTATTGCGATAATATAATAATTGATTTATGTGATTGTTGTGAAATAATTTTGTCTAGAAATACCAAATGCTTGTCAGTCGAATAAATTACGAGTACTTAATTTTTTTCATTTTAATGTTTGTACTAATAATTGTGACAGGTTTAATTTAAAAATACAAGAAAAAACCCAGTTTATCGCGAAATCTTAAATATTATGCCCACCTAGGTATGTACGTTGCATGTTCTTTGGCAGTTAAAAATACACTTACTGTAATTAATCTCAATCAATAAATTGTGTAATTCTTACGTATTGCTTGTATCTTGTAGTCAAGTACATAATTTTAAAAAAGTATGCCAAAAAAAAAGAGTTCTTATTATTTATATTCACTTGTATTTAAGATTATTAGAAAATTATTTCCGTTAACGTAATATTCTATAAAAAATATTTCTATTTTTGTGTTCCAAACATTAACATAAATACAGACTGTCGCAACTAAAATTTGCATCTCCTAAAATGTCCGATTTCTCTAACGCCCAGTCACCCCTTAAAAAAATAATTAGCAAAAGGGGTCGAGTGACTCATCATTTCGAAGTTGTTTTTATTGCCTATGTAAGATTTTGAGATTACTGTAAAAACAAAAATGGTAGTTCTGAATAAACAGTTCAATTTAAGAAATATTCTGCTCAAATTTCCTCAAAATAATGTGTCACCTCTCTTGCTATTTAATTTTTTTGTTAAAATTGATCTGTTTCAGCATTTTTTCCAAACTTGGACGGAAATAGTTGGGATACTCTGTATAATATCCAAGTATATCGTAACCAAAGTCTTTATAAAGACTTTGTATCGTAACAATATTATTAGATTAAGTCAAATTCGGTTTTATTGTGTAAAGAATCCAGATATAATACATTTATAGCTGTCATAAAAATTAGTACAATGATCTCTTATAATACTAATTCTGAAATAAAAATAGATACTATCAAACAATAGACGACTTAAGGTAACCGTATTAAATTTATTAATTACTCGTATTTTATACTTTCTGTCGCCTTGATTACGTCTACAAACTTAAAAATGGTTTTCGGTGTGTTGGCACTAAAAATTACAAATTTGTCTTCTCGAATGTATACTACACTCAAAGAAAAAAAGTGTAGATAATACTCGAAAAAGAGTTTCTATTACTACTTGTAGTAGTGAAATAGGCCTCAACTATTTTGTGCCGTAGATTTTACCACTACAAAATAGTTTTTGTAAATTGGTGATTATTACATCTACAAGTTGTTATTTTTACGTTATGTTCTTTTAGTAAATTTTACCACTACACATATAGCAAAATTTAACGTTATATGATGTGTAAAATCAACCCACATTTTTAGTATTTCAGACCCTTATGTAACGCTAATTCCAACTATCAGAGAGCGTCAGTTTAACAACTTAAGGAAGAATAAATTACATTTTATAAAGTAGAATGTAGTATTCTTTTTATGTAGATATCACTATAGTGTAGTGTAGATGATAATAATACACAGTGATTATATTAGTA